GAGCACCTGCCAGTGCGTCTTGTCCGTCACCTGCAGCTGGCCTTGCTCGTCGCACCAGTGCAGCACGGCACGCTGCTCGCGCATGAGCGTCCAGGCGAGAATGCTGGCGTCTCCGCCCCAGGCGGTTGCAGGGTCTTCATCGAGCAGCTCCGCTTCTTCTAGCCACGACTCCTCGAATTCCTCCTGGTTGGCGGCCTGTTCTTCCAGGAAATCGCGCACCTCCTCTCGCAAGGCCGCGCCGTCGCCATCATCGTCATGCGAGAGGGCATGGAAAAGGCAGTTGCCGTCGCCAGGCATCTTTATCAGACGAAAGCCATCAGGGATGGCATGGACGCTGTCATCCTCCTTGCCACGGCCGCCTCCTCCGCGGAACCCACCGACAGGGAATTGAAGTGGGATGACGTGGAGCACGCCGTCGCTTCCCATGCGGTACAAGACCGAGGAGGCTGGATCATAGCGGAATGCCATGATTTGGCCGGTCATGCTTCGGAACTTGACCTTGTATCGCCGCCTCCCCTTTGCTGTCAAGGAGGTCAGGCACAGTTCGACCAAGGCCATGCTCCGTGGAGTGATTGTGACTGTGGCGGTGTGCCGGGCACTGGCCTTGCGCAGGCTGCGGCGCTTCAACGTGCGGGAGAATGGACACGGAGCCATCGCTATCGCACACGAGGCTGATATTGGGTATGTCAGGATCGGTCCTACAACACCTGTAAACAGGAATGGCTGCAGAGAGGGTGAAGGGTACATCACATGTCCAGAGTGGCGCAGGGCAGGGGAGAGGAAGGGCAGTTTCGGGGGTTGGGATAGCACGGACTCGGGGCCTTGCTGACAGGATCATTGTACAATGTGTTGATTTTAACAGCGAGGACATAGCTAGGATAACTGCTTAGAACATCATCGCATAACAAACCAATGGACTCGCCACCTACTACACAGGTATTTGGTGAGGGGATGATAGGAGGCATGTACACTTCCGTCGGTTGCGAAGATGCTATGTCCATCCGACGTGGGCGAACATACGATGCATAGGAATCCCCCGGTTAATGGCGAACTTGAAGTAGTATCCAATCCATCTGCTTAAGATCGTACGTTCCATGTAACCCTTCATTTGAAGGTATCGATGAATAGTCCTTCAACTAGAATGCGAACGTAAAGTACGTGGGACTCCTCTGTAGTCCTTCAATGTACTTGAGCCTCCTCTGTATTCCTTCAACTCAGGGCGAACGCGAGGTACATGGGCCACCTTTGAAGTCCTTCAGTTAAGGGCGAACATAAGGTATATGGGCCTCCTCCGTCCTCCTCCAGACTCCTTCGATTAAGCGCGAACATAAGGTACAGTAGCCTCCTCTGCTCTCCTTCAATTAAGGGAGAACATAAGGTACACGCCCCCTCTTCTGCTCTCCTGCCATTAAGGGCGACCGTAAGGTGCACGGCCCTCCTCTGCTCTCCTTCAATTAAGGGCGAACATAAGGGTTCACGACCCTCCTCTACTCTCCTTCAATTAAGGGCGAACGTAGGGTACATGGCCCTCATCTGCTCTCCTTCAGTTAAGGGAGAACATAAGGTACACGCCCCCTCTTCCGCTCTCCTTCAATTAAGGGCGACCGTAGGGTGCACGGCCTTCCTCTGCTCTCCTTCAATTAAAGGCGAACATAAGGGTTCACGGTCCTCCTCTACTCTCCTTCAATTAAGNNGGTACATGGCCCTCATCTGCTCTCCGTCAGTTAAGGGCGAACACAAAGTACATGGACCTCCTTTGCTCTCAAATAAGGGCGAACGTAAGGTACATGGCCCTCATCTACTCTCCTTCAGTTAAAGGCGAACATAAGGTGTATGGGCCTCCTCTGCTCTCCTTCAAATAAAAGCGAACATAAGGTACATGGGCCTCCTCTGCTCTCCTTCAAATAAGGGCGAACATAAGGTACACGGCCCTCCTCTGCTCTCCTTCAACTAAGGGCGAACATAAGGGTTCACGGCCCTCCTCTACTCTCCTTCAAATAAGGGCGAACATAAGGTACATGGGCCTCCTCTGCTCTCCTT